TCCCGTGACACTAGCGCGCTTTTGTTCATAAACAGAGCCGGATAGTTCCGGATCCACATACAAGGCTACAGCCTGTAACACCTATCCCAAAAACTTCGAGATTAATTGACCAATTGTTTCCGACTTCTGAGACTATCACTGTTAAGTGGCATAAAACTACCACAGCAGTAGGCTCTAACTTCGGTAATTTCTACTTGGCAAAATTCCCCTCACTATTTAACAAATCACTTCGCCAAGTTGACAAGCTTTCAAATGTCAGTCATCAAATTAATACTGGCAATCATGCTCTGATCAAGATTCCTCTGCGACAATATAGTCCTCAACAACAGCTAGCAATTAGGGAATTCTGCAAAGCACACGAAGGAATTATTACTCAAAAAAGCAAAGGACCTTGGGCAGCTCCCTTGGTTCTCATTCCAAAGAAAACAATCAATCAAAGTAACCAAACCATATGGTGCATTTGCTTTGATTATAGAGAACTAAATTGAATCACAAAAAAACACGCTCATCCTTTACCTAATATGTATGACAAAACTCAGCGTGTTGCTGGACACAAATTCTACCCTTTTTGGATTTAGAAAACGGCTTCTGGCACATAAAAATGCACGAAAATGATTGTGAAAAAAGTGCATTTTTTACACCTGTCACGGAATGTGGTTGTGATCTAATCAATCGAACAAAAAATACAAAGTTTATTCTGATTTCCTAAAGTTATGATAAAGGATGAATAATTACAACGCGGAATAAGAGCATCTTGAAAGGAAAGATATTTTTACAGGGATATGACTAAGCGGACCCTGAGGCCAGCATCATACATGGGCCGCCCACACTGAACGGCATGAGTTTGTGCACTAGATCCTGTAACAACACCTTTTGGAATTTTCGAATGGTTAGTTATGCCTTTTGGGCTGTGTAATGCGCCCGCAACACTTCAAATTTTATGGAAGAAGTTCTCGACCCCTTTCGATCATTTGCTGCTGGACTACTTGATGATGTAGCTGTTTTGGGATTCACCATTGAAAAGCTACATTTCCGCTTAATTCTAATTTTAAATTGGTTCACTTCCTACAATCTCATTTTAAATGCTTGAAAATGTCGACTTTTTGTTAAATCCGGAATTTTCCTTGGCTTTTTAATTTCGGAAAACAGCATAGCCGCGGATGCTGAAAAAGTTGCTGCTATTCACGATAGACCGCTCCCTAGAACAACCTCTGAAGTGCGAGGGTTTGTAAGTGATGCAGGTTATCTAAGATTTTTAATTAAAAACTTTTCTGAACTCACTGGTCCTCTGGCAGATCAATCCGTCGGACAAAAGAATCAGCCGTTGAATTTCACAAAAGATTCTATTGATTCCTACAACAAGATCAAAAAAGCTCTCACACCTACTCCACTGGTAAAAAAATTCAACTGGCAACTTCCCGTAATCCTAGAAATAGATGCATCGCAAAGGTTCATTGTTGCTGTGCTCTTGCTGCCTCATTTAAATGCCGAAAATTCAGGACGTTCTTTTTTACACCTGGTGGCACGCGCACGCAGTTTCCATTGCTACCATTTTTATTTTTTTTGGGTAGAATGTTCCGTGGAAAAGGCGGCCGAATTCCACGGGTAAACACTGAGCTGAATGGCTATTCATTAAGGGGAATATATCAATGAACTTTCAAGCAAAAAAAGAGGATAGGGGCACTGTACAAGGTGTGGCCTGGGTCAGACAGGTGCCCAATGTGCTAGATAGTCATAGACTCAAGTAGTAAAATAAAACACACACACACATACACCAGGTGGCATACTTTTTGTGGAGACTGAATGATACTCAGCAAAGATACTCAGCACAAGAGAGAGAGCTTCTATGTTACGGCTTGCTGTAGGGTAGATCGAGATCGCCGTTCGCCAAGTGTATGGAAAGGTCAAGTGGTGAATACTATAGAGGTGGAAAGTCGACGAAGTACTGTGGCTAGAAGGAAGCGGGGTTGCGAGAGGAATACTGTAATAATATTATAAGATTGTGAAGCTGGAGAACTACTTTGTTGTAGCTCCAGCCTCCTTAAGTAAAAATAACTGTCTAACATAATTCAACTAAGACTGTTGTAATTTCCCATTATGACTCAAACTGTGACCTCAACCATATCAATTCCAGTTGGCGCATTATCTAGTCTCACCATATAAGTGCAAATGTTGAGGGTGAGCCGAAAAACCTGTTCCGTGAACTTAATCCTCAGGCCTTCTGCTTAGACTCTGGTTCAAGACTGTCTCGCCATGACATGTGTCGATTTTCAGGAGATTCCCAGACGAAAGCCTCAAGCTCATCAGCTTATTCCGGGCTTAATTTAGGTGAGCATCCTTTGCGAGGCCTAGGATTTTCAGTCTCTAGAGCACACGCAGGTTTCACTTGCCTCCTTGTCAAGCTAAGTTTGTCAGATATATGTTGTAATGTCAAGCCCAGTCTTTTTTATGTTCTTATTTCAATACATTGATAGCGAGTTAGATTCTTGCGAAATTTAGTTTCTGAAGCAGACTTTTCGAGAGACATTATTATTGTTAATTCATTTCATTGTCATGTCTAAGTCTATGACTATGTAGGACATGCAGATCCTCTCTGCTTACAGGCCAAGGATACCTATACCAGTAGTATATCCCCTCCTATGCCTCCCATACAGCTCCCCTCAAACAGTACCACCCATCACAAGTCCTCATTCGATCATACACTAAGAGGAGCCCTTTGCCCTTCATTATCTCCCCTCCCCAGCTGTCACGGACCAAGGGCCTAGTCTGAGTCAATAGGAACTCTGTACGAAGATATATTTGGTATTCTGCTATATTCTAACCTAATCTGTTCTGTTCTGTTCTGTTCTGTTCTATCCTATCTTACTCTATTCCATTCCATTCTTATCTGTTCTGTTCTGTTCTGTTCTCTTCTGTTCTTTACTGTACTTGTCTAGACTATTCTATTCTGTATTAGAGCAGACTGGAAAGTTCGAGAACAATAGAGAGGGATATATAATGGGTATTTGGGATAACTATGGTTCGGCAGATTATGGTCTTGTATTCTTAGGAACTCTTTAGAAGTTATTGAATCTTATGTTGAACTCTTTAACTGTCGAACTCTTAAACCGTCGGACTCTTGATGTATCGAACTCTTGAACTATTAGACCTACGGAATGCGAACCCCTCTTGTACTCTTGACACCAGCCAACGAAATGATGGCAATTTGCGAGTGTATGGCAGCCGGGAAAAATCGCAAAAACCACCAGGTGCGGAGCTCTCCTAATACCGACATTATGACTAAATCTTTCGAGAGACATTATTTGCTAAAAAAAGAGGATGAATTGATAGTGATGTTTAGAATTAGAGGCTTTGTGGATTAGGCAGTCAAAAGTGTTGTTGAAAATGTGTTTCTCTAAGCAATTGTTTGAACAAGACGATTGGACCATACTTCATGGCGAGCGGGATAATGAGGAGAGACAGTCTAACCTATTGCGAGCTAGCCCAACTGCACCTACAGGGCTAATCCCTAAAACAACCCAGTTTCAAGCCTAACATTTTGGATCCTAGAGGCGCTGTAAATACATTAAAAACCTCCTAGATAGTTCGCCATTAGTCGATATGTAAGGTACCATCTTCTACAGGAATTCTCCTTGCTTTTTGCACCTGATCTATGACAACGTCAAAAACCCATTACAAGGCCATGAAACCCAGCGAGAAGTTAAGGAGGAGGAAGATCTTTCGAACTACCCGTGGACGGCTCCGGTAGATCATGTATCCAGTTCCGACTTGGTTGTCGAGAAGGGCTCCATTTGACAAGAAAAGAAGATCTGTCGAGAACTGTGAGCTAGGCTAATTTTTACACAGCTGTGAAGCTATTCTTTGCGTACGGCGCTTATAGTTTGTAGGGGTGACCTTTCCTTGGCGTTCCCGGGTGACGGAAGAGTGTCGGTGAGTGGATCTAGAGTAATTCTCTTACTGTTCCAACAGATGTGGGGTAAGTTCCAACGTCGTCTTCTTTACTGTGCAAGAGAAAAAATTGAAAGTTATTATGGTCGAATAAATTAAACATAGTTTCTTTCATGTAGAATCTGGAAGTCCTCCATTACCACAGACTCGGATAGGACTAAAATATAATCATTCTAATCCAGCATACTCGGAGAGCTTGCATCGCGTTTGCTGCAGCAAATTGGACTATGAGGCTCCCGTTTATTAGCCCAAGACATGCAAGTGCTGGGCCCCTCCCAGTCTCTCGTAGAAGGGAAGAAGTAGGGGTTGTGCCAGTAATCTGTGGTACAAGAAGGAGAAATTGCCTCGTAACCATTCGCCATGTGACTTCTTGAGATAACAATTCACTCGCAGTCTCATAGATGAGTTGCTAACAAAATTCATACATGATTCCATGATTTTATGTTTTCAAACTGTTACAATTCAATCTGCAATAACACAACATGTCTCAACACTCGGCACTTCTCGCACAACTTGCTGGGAATCCAATGCGTGTAATTCTCGAGTGCTTTCGACATGAGTATAGGCAGAGGGCTGATCTTTCAGGAGGTAATTTACAACTACAAGCTAATGAGGACCCAGCTAATAAATAAGCTCTCGGCGGACTTTTTCAGGGCCTGAACCTACACAGTATAGGGCTTAGTCGTAAAGATGAAGAAGTACCACTCGCACCGCTTTACTTTGTTACAAAACATATTTTGGATAAAAGAATTAATTTATCTATCTTTAATCATCTCATTTATTCTATTGAACAGGAATTTGAGGATACTTTCATCTTGCAAACTTGTATTAATCTTGTTGGAACTCTATCATGCAACATACTTCCACCAGTTCCTTTCCAACATGTTCCATCCTCACCAAATCATAGCTCAAATTTAGCTGCACAGTGCTATCAACATCTTCCCGAAGATCCTACAAAACAGATCGAGAAGGAACTAGGCAGAAAGTCATATATTAAAATTTCAGTATTTTGGCAGAAATTTTATGAAGGAAAAGCGTGGTCCGGTCAAACAATGCGAATTTGGGAGAGCTATAGAAATTACAAAAATGACACTAACCCCGAAAATTTCCGTTTCAACTTGGCAGAGCAAGGAGTATGGGACTGGATCGCTTCATTTAACAATCTATTTTTGAGTCAGCTTTTGGAATCCCCGTCATTACCATCGGAGCATTTTCCTACCATTATCAGAAAAGAAACTGATCTCCCACTACGTGGACAGATCTGTCTTTCGACAACTGTCGGAAGATGGAAAGGAGATGAGGCCCAGGGTCAACTTGATTTCCACATCAAAGCAATCGGCCATCCATGCCAGCTTGGTGATTGGAGCCAAGTGATGGTGGTGGCTGGTCTTTCTGAAAAACCTTCAAAAAGTAGACGGAAAGTGAGGTTTATCCAACTGGCGACTTACGTTCGGCAAATATTTTACGCACAGCCACTTCGTCGTTTTGTGCACGGATTCTGCTTGTTCGACAAGGAAATCGAATTCTGGATGATTGATCGAACAGGAGCATATAGCTCGGGCTATATTAGTATTGAAAATGATGAGCAGGCCTTGGTTCGTGCAATCTCCTCTTATTTACTTATGAGTGACAAAGAGTTGGGTCTCGATACAACAATTCGCCAAGTTGACGGACGTTCTATAATTAAAATTGTTGAAGATGAGTCTGGGGAGACTAAAGAGATTGAGATTGACCCTAAGCCCCTGATCAAGCCACACAGATTGACTTCACGTGGTACCACCTGCTACAGATCGCTTCATGATAAATATTTGGTCAAATACTCGTGGCACGGGATCTTAGGAGAATCAGAAACTGAATTACTAAAAAAAGCACTCCCGCTCAAGGGTGTGGTCAATTTGGTAGCATCAGATGTCATTCAAAACTATTCTTATCATTGGGAATGTTTAAAAGGCTTCGCTCCTAGAAGATGGCACCTAACACCAAAAGATCAATCGTTAAATTACTATGACTCTTCTGATTCAGTTTTTGACACTGAAAGGAGGGAAAAATATCAATTCGCTGAAGAAGGAGAATCGACTGTATTTTCGGTGGACAACGAATATGTCTTCCATAGAGTCGTTCTTTCACCCTATGGACGTCCCCTTCAATCTTGTACATCAGTATTACAATTTCTTATTGTCTTACGAGATGCAATACTGGGTCACAGGAGTCTATTAATTGAGAAAGAAATTATCCATAACGATATCTCTGATAGTAACATCATCATAGTAACACCAACAGAATATGATAGATCAAGAGGGATGTTGATAGACCTCGACCATTCAGTTGCGCTCTACGACCGTATGTTATCATATCTGATAAGACTTCCGGTAGGTAAGATAAAATTCATGGCGTTCGAACCTTTGGATGCCATCAAAAGACCTAAAGCTAGATGGAATGAATCCTTTGAATGTAGCTATAGTAATGACCTGGTATCATTTTTCAATGTGTTCCTAACAGGATGCGTAGAATATGGACGTGACCCGGATCTTCCAAGAATGGACTTGGATTCGTGGTGCAACAATAGAATAGATGAAAACATTCAGAACAAGAGAAATGACATCCTTGAGAATTTTGAGGAATTGGTCAACAAAAAATTTTCAAGCAGCTTCGTTGATGCTAAAGAATTGGGCAAAGAGCTGCAACAATTATTGTTTGGATTGAATAGAAAGCCAATTGAGTATTTACAAAACCGTTATGTTAAATACAATCAAATTATTCAAGCATTTAATAAAACTATCGGACAGATTGAAGGTGAGATTCACTCAAAACTACATAGAAGCGCAGTTACCTGCTAATTGGGAGTTACTGACAATTATAATTTTACTAGCTGGGAAAATCCCGAACAGAGCGTGGTCTAATAAGACCACTGTTGGCGTATGATAAAATGTGTCAAGGTTTTGATGGGCTAGAAGCGACTACACCATCTTCTAGAAATATGGAGTTATTCAAGGTTTATTTCGTGGACCAATTCTAACAATCAAACTTAGTTTCACTTCCTCAAAGAGCATTGCAGGCAGCCACTTGACATCGAAATATTGATTTTACTGATCCCTAATCCGGCCTGCATCATACAAACATACGGTTCCCATTAATGACGATTTCAGGGGCCGCTAGGAAAAGGCTAGCACTTTCAATGCATCGCACAAAGCTATAATGAAATTAAGTCTTCGAGGTAGTTGTGTAAGCTATCACAAAAGTTAAAGGGGCTTGAAAACTAGTGGCCATCATAGCTAAATAAAAGGCTATTGTATTTGCGTGAGATGGCAATAGTGACCTATATAACAGGGAGTTAGTGGACGAAGTCGTAAAGGTCTTTTACTCCCACTAGTAAGGCTTCGAGGAGCTCTACGTAGCGCAATTTATTATCGGATTACGGACGTCCGGCATGGAAGTGATTAGATACCACAAGATTCCATGCGTGGCCTTTGTAGACATTATTTATTCAACTCATATTGTAGAATACGTAAGCTTCATTATAGAGGCGTCACTCCAATAGCCACGTCACGATCTGGCCAAGTCCAGCATGCACAACAAATTTTATTAACGTAATAGAATTTGCGTGGTCCTAATGTTAGTGGGAAGAATTTATCATTCTCACCTTTTGTAGTATGACTTTTTCGGGTTATTTCCTTCTCTTCTAATCGATCAATGTGTCTTCGGCTGTTGAGCCGTGGCAGATGGTCAGTAAAATTTGTAAGTGTTTCATGACTCTTTTGACTCTAGAATCACCTGTAGGCTACATCTCATTCCAAAATATCGCTATGAAGTGTGAAGCTTGGACAGATTAGACAGGCCGATGTGCACGAGATCTCAGCGCTTGTCGTTGATGTTTACTATGAGCCTCCATCCCTCACTATAGAGCCTGCAGAGACGAGATGGAGCAACACCTTATTCCTTACCTAGAGGACGATTCCCAAAGGCTTCTTTGGTTTGCATCGTCTTGATATCTTAGCACAACTCCATACTACCATCATGATGAAGATTACCACAATGAGATCAAATGATAGGGTACAAGTCCCTCTCTTTACCCACTCTTCTCGATCATGGAGGTGAAACCATCCGATAGATTTCTGGAGGATAAACAGAACCAGATGCAGCGATGGTAGATTGAATCGAATTGGCCTCTTGTGTAAGTAGAAAGGGAAAAATAGTGTTATGGGACCTGCGCCCCCTAAAAATCATAACTATTACGAAGATGGCGCATTAATGCGAAAAAAAGAAAGGAATAGTGTAGTATTTAGAAGATAGAATTTTCCGATAGCTATGGGCCGTACGGACATTCTTGGAGCCCCTTCTTAGGCACTGAAGACGTGCCAAACCAGTGAGCCTACTTGGCGTTTAATGCAAGCATAAAAACAATTTGTAATGCAAGCTTATCTAAAGCGCATCAAAGAGGCTCTGTTGAATTGTTAGGAGGCAAGGGGATGGAGGATGGGCTGCTGTATTGGGAAAAGGTGGAAAATACAGGCTGTTGCATAGATGCTGTTCATGTACTCTACAATCTCTTCACCTGCCGAGATCAGTGAATCAATCTATCCAAATAATGGCATTCTTCACATCATCCATCAGATGATATTATCAATCTTTGGAATGCGCATCTAGCATCACCTTCACAGATCACCATTGTCAGTAAGAGTTCACATTTGATTCCTACTGACACCCATTGGCCACAGTGATACGCACTCAGTGTCCATCGCGCCATCTCCGCGACTCATCATTGCACTTGATCCCGTGCCACTCCACCGACGGACAGCAGAGTCGTAATGGCCATAAACCTCATAGCTCGTAACCGCAACAGGCTATCCTACAATATTATTAATTCGTTCCATAGCATAGATCACGACCTCATTTCGTGAAATATAGATGGATATACGCCCTACGTATGTACCTTATGCCTAGGTCTAGCTTGGCGGGAGCGATAGGTTTTTTCCGAGAGATTTCTCGCACACGTAGTTTCCACTACTAAAAGTTTTTATCCTTTTTTGGTCGATGGTTCTGTGGAGAAAGCGGTTAATTCCATGGGGACACACTGAGCTTAATGGATTCTCATGACTGGCGACATATCAAAGATCTTTCAAGAAACATGAGAGGCAAGGAGCACTATACAATCTGTGATCTAGGCCAGAGAGGAAACCAATGTTCTGGATAGCCGGGGACTCAAGTAGCACAATAAACCTCATACACAACGTAACATATCCGTGAGGTCCTCTACGAATCTAAGAGTGAAGTATTCCCCCCCAAGCTGAGATTCAGTCTCGACAAAGGCTGTGTTTGAGAGTTTTCGTGGAGGTGGCAATCGGGAGGAGTGATGTTAGCAAGTATTTGCTCCAATATCCGACCTGCAGAGATATCGCAATTGCACAATCCCACGAACACAAACATCTACACCCCAAACATAAATCGCAGATAAACTCAAACCTACTTGACGTTGGTATGAAAACAACTCGCAGCCTTCACAACCTTCACTATCTCTAAGGTTTCCTGGAGGATCTTTGCAAGTTAAATTCATCATGCGACGCTCCCCAAGGTTATCTCACTACCTATCGAAGCTAATTTTCTTGCAAAGGTCAAACCCGCAATCTAAGGTGCAAGTTGAAATTCATCTCATCACGACTGTCGCGCGGTGTGGAGGTACGGTCGAATTAGCAGCCTTGTATTCGTCTACACCTCAGCCAATGGCACCAAGAACTCGACCTGCCAGGAATTTCCATCGACCAGCCCATCAACTAAAGTATTCGACAAAGGTCGAGGCTTCGATGCTTCTTTATTAAGCTCCTCAACCCAAATTCGGCCTCCATAGTCAGGGGTGCGGCAGCAAGAGGGCAAGGCCGTGGGATGAACTTTCTACAAAGATTCTAAGACGACGATATCGACAGAAGGCTCAGGGTAAGCTGCTACGATGGTATGAAAGGGAAGAAAACTGAGGAAATCTCAGTGAGCGACTGGGTGAGACACGCCAGCTATAGAACTGAAAGGATAAATTAGAGATTGAGTAGGCTGTGGAAGATAGAGCTTAAGTCGAAGGGCGCAAGTTAATTGATATGTATATCTCTATATTCATTTGAATTCAATTAAGATTATTTACAAAGTCAGACGCAATATGTATCATTATCTCAGCAGGAAAATATAAGGATCAACATATCTTGAAGTATCAGTCACTGAGCCTCAGAATACATGTGACCTGATTTGTAAGCTCGACTAAACTAGGGTCTATAAAATATATCGTAAATTTAGAACGCAGTAGTTAAAATAATATTATACCAAATAAGTGGTCTCAATTCCTATCTGTATCGAAGGAAAGTCCCCGGAGTGATTGATCCAACATGTCAGGGTGGATATCCGTCTCAAAATGTCAAACATATGGTCTCGACGTGTCCTCAGTGGGCGATGGGAAGAGGAGAGGTGCTTCGAAAGGCAAAATATAGGTCATTTGCGGCATTGATGAGCAGCTCAGATGATATAGAGAGAAGCACAAAATAGATCCTGGCAAAAGGCTGGTTTGAATAATTCCGGCTTGCAGGAGAAGTAGAAATAGCATTGAACGAAAAGATGAGACGATGTGGACAAGGATAAGATGGATTTCACACTGTATAAACAGTATAATCGCACTTCCTGTAGGAAACCTCAGAAAACAAATAGACATGAGACAGACAGTTGTAGGGGTTTTTACCGAATTTGGTTTCCTCCTGTGTACATATTATAGCTATATCTACCTGAACGGGCCAAATGAAATCAAATCAAATACAAAATAAGCTTTAGGCATTTACCAGCAGTGCAGTTTTCCAACCAAATATCTTCCTTCAATAACATGGTATTTTGAAAGATAAACACCATTTTTGCCAGAAAACTGCGCTGCCCTCTACGCTGCGATTACTATTAATTTGACAACGTGAATCTTATTTTTTCATCTTCTCTACCCGCGTCCCATGAGTTCACCTTCTATGTTTCACCATGGCGGGCGTGGGTAAATCCAGCGGTTTCGAGCCGTCGCTTAAAGCAACAATGGCCATGTTGGAAATGAAGACACAGAGTGTTGTGGACGTACGGGCGCTCCATTTCTTCTAGGTTCTCGACACGATCTTGCGTGTATTTAAGAGGTTGGAATGAGTGATATGGTAGCGCCTCAGGCTACCTACTGGATATATAAGTGGCTTTTTTTTTTTTTGAATCATTTAATGTATATTCAGCTATTTAGCTATGACACATGACCCGTGCTATGTATACATGTGGGATGACTCTTCTGACGTTAGAGACATTCATACTCTGGATTTCATTTGCAAATACCACTATGAGGTATGTTCGCTAACACAAACAGTCGACCCTCCTCCGTTAGTACCCACCAAGGGGAATTTAAAAACCTTTGATTGTCCAAGCATGCTTTCGTCATCCTTGCATACCAGCGCCGCGAGAAATGTGGTTGTGTTTTGCTGGATTTGAACCAGCGATCTATTGTCTCAAGTGGGATGTGTGTCCAGGCTATCCAGACTCTACTTGGCAGACCGGCCAAGAAGATGTACCACCGCACCATCCAACCATGGCGTTGTTTATAGTGGCGCCTGTACTCTCGCAACCGAAGTCTTGGCACGCACAAAGCTCAATTTGTAAAAACTCCTTGCCAAACTTCCAAATTTCATGCCCGTCGAGAATGTATCCATATTCTGCATCATCTTATCAACTTGTCCTGATCCCTCTCACGTCCATCCCAGAGAGCTATCTCCCAGATTTAAGCTCCCCGCTTTGCTTCCTCCGTCGGGTGTAAATATCGGCGTGGGCGTGTATTTGGTAACCGGCTGAGGCCAGAGAAAGTCGACAAGAGGTGTGGTCATTGGGATGAGGATGCACTAGGTCGTACTTGTAGGCTTGATGAAGCTTAGATGAGAATCGGACTCTTTGGGAGTAAAAGGTTGACATGGTGGAGTAATTTGAATTTTTGCCTCGTGGGCCAACTTCTTTGATATTGTGAAATACGACTGAACTTGGCTCTGGGGGAATATTTCACTCCCAGGTTCGTAGAGGACACCGGGTACAGGTGTTCAGTCTTGCCCTCGGCGCGACCTGATCGTGAGACCATAAGACACTAGCATTTTGTCTATGTGCCGTACATCCAAAATCCGACCAACCCGTGACAATGTAGATCTTTTCAGGATCCACAGGCATGGTGCGCCAGGTTGGTAGAGCAACGCGAATTCCTATGGCAGTAGTTTGGTCAATAACTTTGCACTGTCTCTCGCATGAATTTTATGCGACACCACTGAGGTTTCTTGTGCACGTTAGTAAGAATAAAATGATAAATGTTGACTGTGAAATTCACGGATGTCCCGTGGCTCCCACTACAACAATCTATATGTGTGTAGAGCTTGAGATTAGGTGTACACTTGTATTTCTATTAACGTTCTAACTCCTCCTTAAATACATGAAATCCTCTACACTCCAGATAATGTAAAGATCCGTGATACATGACAAGTAAACTATCATAGTACAGTAGGGGAGGAGTGAGGTGCTAAGCCGCCCGGATTGTGACCAAAGACTGCGAGGGGTGCATTCTTGATGGAACCTTAGACTCGGCGTTTCGCTCAGACTTTGAATTCAGAATCCACACCCCGATACGTTTCTCTGGTTGGCCCCGGGTACCAGGATTCTGCTGCGTGCATCGCGATTGGCAGGACTAACGTGCGGATCACTGTGGTTAGTAGGTCGGGCCTTGGTCCCTGGGTGCACTGAGTGAGCCGTCGGAAGTGCTGCACTAGCCGCATTGCTTTACTGGTCGACTTGGCGACGTGGCTTTCGAAGGTCAGACCGCGATCAAGTAAACTCCGAGCCATCGAATGTAGTCAGATGCTTGAACATCACGAGGCCCTACCCTTACAGTCGGAAGTTCGTATCACCTAGATCTAGGACCGAGGAAATACACTGCTTCGGCCTTAACTGGGTCGAAAGAGACGGCATTTTCAGCAGCCCACCCTAGGACTGCATCGACTTCTCTCTGGACAGCTACTGCAGCTTCGTTTGGGGCTGAGCCTATGCCGAGGATAGCAACATCATCTGCATAGCCAAATCTCCAACTACTGCCCCCCACGACTTCGGCCATGTAAAGGAGGCGGAGAATTGGGGAAAAAGGCGATCCTTGTGGCAGCCCGCTACGAGTCGATTGAATAATGTTAGATTTAAAAAGTGTCAATTAATTCCTGGCTGCCCTTTCTCTTTCTATTACTATCTAGATTATGTATGTCTAGAAAATGGCAAACGCTCTATCTGTCCCCAACCTGTCCCCGTGAACCAAGTTTCTCATGGTTTAAAACGAAACATCTCTATTCAGAAGATGCAGAGTTCTTATTGCTACAACCCTAGGGAAACATCTTTGTCCGAATCAAGTAACTCCAAGCTTTGTAAACCCAACACCTTAAACTCTACATCTGATATTAATCGCTTCCAAACTATCCATAGTCTGATAAACAATGACCCTTCAGTCATTGAGGTTGTAGAGCGCATTCGTTCAATTAACTGCCGACGTGAAACTAAATACAATTCTGTAGTCACATGTGTATCAAAAGCTTGGCCTACTTGAAAGCCCCAATAATTCAAACTTCTAACATGTAGTAATGATAATGGGATCCGAGTTAGTACACAAAATTCATCGGACGAATTCTCTTTCGTAACAAGTACAACAAGTTGATGTCTTTGACATAGAGCTTCGATAAAACCATCAAATCTAGTAATCTTTTATTTATAACAGCCGTGCGGGTGTCATGTCCTAAGAGATGCAGTTGACACAAATCACAATAGAAACAGAGCATCTTCATTCAGTTGAGTAAGTAATAATTGTGCATCCACGGCTCGACAGTCCTCACCATTATACCTGCAAGTTGGTGGGAGACAAAACAGATAAGTGATGTATTTTCATCTCTCATCAATTATTGTTTTAACAATACCACGAGGTGCAAAATTCATCGCCTTTAAACTTGATCATCGACTTGGTATATTGGTGTGTTATCACAGACACGGAAATAATTCATGAGATTGATCAATGAGATACTAGGATTGATTCCGTTCTTATTTGGTAGATGACTTGTCTCAAGTATCAGAGGGCTACAACGCCTTTATATATCTAGAGGTAAGTTATCCGTTTCCCAGCCACGCTAGCCATACAGTTCGTACTATATGAAACTTGATTCATATCATCAGTTTGGGGTTGAGGTTTACCGGGAATTTTGCTACTTGAGTTGCATCCCCGAAAACTATGCAAACGCTCAGGTATCAATCAAATTACCCACACCAAACCGGAACTACTCACAACCCTGATTATGACCCCATGAATAATTGTTACAGTAGCCTGCAAAAAAAATTACAATTAGGCTAGACGTCAATGATCAGAGCTTAATCCGAAAAGAAATCGTAAAGATCCTACTGAAAGATATGAGGAGAGGCTGACTATTACAAAATCTTTACAATGTGAAATGAAGGACTTCATTACTCAATGTACATATCGCGATGCTAAGTAAAACGTACTTAACTGCGTTGACTAATTGACAATACACTATAATACATTCTGCCCAGAAAATTCGGTGGCATTTCTATTCCATTGCATTCATATCTTATCCAATCGGTTCTATTCTATGGAGACTTGGTCCATTACATGTTGGTGGTTGGTCCAGTGCCTGAACAACACGGTCTCATATAAGTATAAAGTAACCCTTACCATGGGATGAAATATAGGTATTGCTGTTGCACCAACCCGACTGCAATACTCATGAAACAAATTATCTTTTGGTAATAAATCTGTAATTGATCAGTCGGTCAAACATCATTATGATAATAAATAGAACGGCCTATACTGGAAACCAATTACACTATAAAGAGATTATTCATACTAGAAAATTGTGTCCAGTAATAGGTGCCACACTCGAGTTGTCCGTCTTCGGCCTTACAAACTATTGCTTACTATATCACAGAATCAATATCAATAGCGAGCTTTATAAGACACAACTTCAATATCAAAGCTTCCCGTAGTTCGCTTTACCAGCTTGTGTAGACTAAGGTTAGGTTAAGGAGAGAAATTAAATAAAATAGAACATACATTGTCAATGACTGGATGGCCTCGTCGAATGACTTCATGGTAGCGTTGTATAAGACATTATTGTCCTTGTGATATCCGATATAAAATTCACCGTACGGATAGAATAAATTCTTTCTGAATACCATTGCAAGGTTCCAAAGATTTTGATACCTTATCGAGAATTTGGGCAACAATTCTTCGACGAAAGTCGATCCTCTTATTTCACACTTTTTGAACTTGTGAATCTCCTTCGTTGTACCCTTATACCATTTTGAAAGGTATTCTTTGTTCGGATTTTTATCATCTTCCCATCCACAGCTTAAGCATTGCCAGAGGAAGACATAGAAGAATGACTCGATGTCATGGCGGTATGAATGCTCCACAACGGCGCCCGAAGTTTCACAACTACTATTCAAAACCTCCAGTGCCATGAACTCCATCGTCCCGGTCATAGCCTGTCTTTTCTCTTGAAATTTGCAATTCGTGAGCAAAACGGCTAGGTCCAGGTCAATGACATATCCTTTCCAGTCCTTACATGATTCAGATCCCGTCATGATGATATTGTTTGCTGAGATATCACGGTGCAATATCTTTGCGTCTGTCATTAATGACCAGTGCGCTTTCATCGCATCGCGCAGAACAGTGACTAGTTCGAGTGGTGATTCGACCTCGTGAAGCAATCTTCCATACGGTATTGTCGCCACAGCCGACGAGTGACGATCCCGAATCTCTGCAAACTTGACCTCTACTTCACAGTAGGCTTCCACATTATTGGATTCGATCTCAATATCACCTTCACCAGCTATGAAAGGTGTATAACTGGCGTTTTCATCCTGGACAATAACCCTGCCTGTTTTGGCATTATCAACACTTGATGTTTCTCCTACTGCAGTTGAAAGGTGTAATCTCTTGATCCGTCCGCTGACTTCATCGTTCTCTGTGCTCTTTTGTTTCTCCCCAGTAGACTCTGTGCTTACACCGACAGTGCCTTCAATCTTGTTCTGGACCCATGCTTCTGGGGTAGATACTTCATCTTCTTCGATGATCGCATTCAAAGACACGGTTGATATTCCTTTCGTTACGGTGCTTCTGGCATACGAAACTTGTTCATTATTAGTGGGGGTTTCCAGATGGCATCAAAGGAATCTCTTACATCCATAAGAGGTCTTTGATCTCTTATTAGACCGACCGGTCTCGGTTCCTGAATCGCTTGTTGCGCTCTTTCGTTTTCGAGACCCAGCTACACTTGTACTTTTGCTTTCCCGTAACATGGTGCCATCAGTGAGTGCGAGCGGTGTGGCCATGGTCGTGTCGTCCGGAAGCGTGTTTTTCTCCATCTTGTTGGTGAATATCAGTCCCTTTCGAAGATCGCTAATCTTCACAAAGTCCCGCGAGCCAGCAAGCTTTGCCAGCCCATCCACGTCCTTTGCAATCTTGAGTAGCTCAGCCTCCGACTTGTTCCCGCACATTCTCCAAGCGAACTTCACCGCACAGTCCCCTTCCAAAGTGTGGTAGCAGCTGGTTCCTCTCGAGACAAATGAACACACGATCGATTTTGACCCAGCAAAGTCAGAACTTCTGGTGACCGGAGGAGGGCCTAGAAAGGAAATCAACGCGGCTAATTTTTCTATCTTGGTGAAAGATCGCCGGATCGAACCGTAAACTCATATCCGATGGCTAGGAGTCTGGCTTGATACCCAGCTGAACTTCAAGCAGCATGTACAGGAATGGATTGGAACGGCTAATCGACTAGTCCATTACATACGACATATAGATGGAGTTCAACGTGGTGCTGCACCCGGACCTCTGATTCGTGCAGTACATGCATGCGTTCAAAGCACAGCTCTATATGGGGCAGAAGCGTGGTGGCCGGGTCTCACTCGAATAACCACACTGCGAGATAAAGAAGTCGGCACTGGAGTAGGCTGGCACATATCTCTATTGGAAAAAACGATAATGAAAGCTATTAGAGTAGCACTCCCAGCGTGGCGTACCACTCCCAATGTTGCTCTTCATCGTGAAGCGGGAATACCCCCGGAATCCATAATTCTTCAGCAAAAGATGCTGCGGTCTGCAGCTCGTATGCGAAGAATGGATTTCTGGCACCCTCTAGCCCTTCAGGCGGCTGAGGACCCTAAAGAGACAATAAGATGCTTAGGTCTTAGATCGGGACAAAGAAATCGCTTGATCAGACAACCAGAACGGTACACGACACGCCTACAAATAAGTGTGCGTCGAGTTCCGACAGCCGAAGGCTGTGGAAAGCTATACTTCCCACGTGGCACCCCAGCATTGATTCCATGTAGTCGAGAAAAAGAAGCTAGGTCTGGAAGCACAAATCGATAGTTAGCTTCCCGTCCAGCTGACACTGTCTGCGCGTTCGCTCTGATAGAACATCATCGGGTCCCGGAAAATCAGCCTGGGGGTATGTAGTATACCAAGGAGGCAAGCTAGTTGGAAGTGGTTCTGGTCCACTTCCCAGAGCAGAGGTATTTGACGCAGAAGTTGTAGGCGCCATAAAAGCCTTGAAGGCTGCAATAGAGGTAGGAGAAGACTTACCGATCTGCTTTCTTCTGGACAACCAAGCGGCCACCCAGGCACTCGAAATGGGAAGATCTAACTCCTCGCAGTCAGTGGTGGACAAGTTTTCATCGCTGAGACACAATAGGCGTGTGTAAATACGCTGGATATCCGGTCATGTGGGAATTCAAGGCAATGAAGAGGCCGATAAGCTGGCCAAATCAGCCTTGGGAGCTCCCAATAACCTGTCACTAACCTCAGCTGTGCCCAGTGGAGAAGATCAAGATCTAACTTTTGCGGCATTAGGGAGGTGGTTTAAACAGCGCAGCCAAGAGCTCGTGGAAGAGTGGTGGCAGAAGTATCGACCGAAACGATACAAAGATCTGGACCTATTCATGCGTTGCAAAAGACCACCGGAACTAGCTTTACCAAGATGGGCGTACCATCGTCTTGTTGCGGCAAGAGCAGGCCACGTGGACTACGCCAACTACCATCGACGTTTCAACCCCTAATATGAAGATCTGAAATGCGTTTGCGGCCGAGAGAAAAGGCCCTGCCATTTTTCAGAGTGCAGACCTGCTCTGCTATGTTGGAGAAGCTATGAGAAAATGGCCTCACGTGGGGCCAGGGAAATGATAGGGAAGAAGAGATGGCAGAAATTCATTCAATTCTTAACTACAAGCAGATGTTACAGTCTGCCGAAGAACGAATAGGGTGGGAGGTGACCACGCTGAGATTGTTTCTGACCCGAGAGGAGATGGGTGTGGAAGATAGGGATGCGGCGCAGGGCACCGTAACTCAGACATATACTGTTCCTTTTGTTTCATTCTTTTCTTTTGTCGCTTCTGGCTTCACTGCCGGTCATGTAGGTAGCAATGAGCTTTCATAGCCCATCTACCCGTGTTACGTCTAAATAGATGTTAGGTTCTTCCTGCCACGTAAAAGATTTCAAACTCGAATTCAATGGATATTATCTAGAAATACACATCTACTTCAAAAATAATTGCTCTTTATTACAAAAGAATACATCGAAGCCCTCAGTATGGCTCGCAACTAAAATGAAAGCGTACTTCATATTTTATATTAGTCTCCTCCATCCTAATACTTTGTGTGCCCTCCATTTTCCTTTATCACCGCTTTACACCTTTCGTGCATGTTGACCACACTTAACGCTGGCTTCTTCCGAGCAATGCATCTGCTGTAACCTATTTTATTGAGGGCATCTGAAAGTTAATACTCATTGCATCCCCAGTGGCTGGAGGATCCCATGGCTAGTTCCAAGTAGCACATCTGTCGATTTTCAGGAGATTCCCGGACGAAAGCCTCAAGCTCATCAACCTATTCCGGGCTTAATTTGGGTGAGCATCCTTTACGAGGCTTAGGATTCTAAGTCTCTGGAGCACACGCAAATTGCAATTGCCATCTTGTGAAGGCAAGTTTGTCGGATATATGTTGTGTGTGTGTTTGTGTTTATTGTGCTACTTGAGTCTATGACTATCTAGCACTGGATATATGTTGTAATGTCAAGCCCAGTCTTCTTTATGCTCTTCTTTAAATACATTGATCGCGAGTTAGATGCTTGCGAACTTTAGTTTCTGAAGCAGTCTTTTCTAGAGACATTTTTCATTCATTTTATTGTCCTGTCTGAGCCTATGACTATGTAGGGCATGCAGGTCCTCTCTGCCTATAGGCCAAGGATACCTATACCTGTAGTATATCCCCTCCTATGCCTCCCATACAGCTCCCCTCAAACAGTATCACCCATCACAAGTCCTCATTCGATCATACACTAAGAGGAGTCTTTTGCCCTTCATTATCTCCCCTCTCCAGCCAAAGAAATGATGGCCATTTGCGGGTGTATGGCAACCGGGAAAAATCAAAAAAACCACTGGATGCGGAGCTCTCCTAATACCGGCATTAGGACTAAATCCGAAGACATAGTGATCCTTCTGATGCGTTCGGAGAGGTCGGCCAGCTGGGAGCTGCAGACTTGTGTGTACCTCTAAGAGTTCACCCTCTGCCTTTCTAGCCTCCGTCCAACTCCTTCCCGAAGGTCGTGCTGAAATGTCAGAAAAGTCTTGACAAAGCGGGATTGCTGTATAGTAGCTTAGCCTAGATGTTTTGTGCCGTCCTAAGGAGTCTTTAGTTTGCACTCTAAATACCTTTCCAAAAGCCCCTTTGCAAACTTAACACCGTGGCACCACGGTACTTGGAAGACTGGCCAAGACGATGAACCTGTAACGGCTGGTAAACCGACTGGACCCTGTAGCGCATGTTGGCCAACATGAGCCTGGCCTGACGTAGGTAGCGCACGAGTGATCGACATCAACGCGCGGGGAGAACTGGCTGGACACCTACCAGTGGTGTCCTCTACGAACCTGGGAGTGAAATACTCTTTCAGAGCCGAGATTCAGTCACGACAAAGGGTTAATTTGAGAGTTCGTCGAGTTGGCGATCGGGAGGAGTGGTGATGGCTCATTTTTGGTTGAAAATCCGACTTGCAGAGATTTCACGACTGCACAACTTAACGAAATCAACTATCTACACCCAAGACACGAACCGCAGACAGGCTGTAACCTGTCTGATGTTCGTATTACAACAACCGACACCTTCAACATCTTATTTTCTATTTCTCTGGAAAATCACTCCTAGCCAAACTCATCTCGTGGCCCTCTCCACAATCATCTCACCATCTACCTAAACAATCCCATACCTCCAAAAGACAAATCGCCAATAAATAAGCAAGAGAATGTCCGACCCTCCGCAACTGCCAGTCACTGTGAATCTACGGTCGAAAACCGGTCTTAGATGCGTCCTCACCTCGGCCAAGGGCACCAACAACTTGACCTGCGACGAATCGCCACCGACGAAATACGTACGACATTTCGCCGGCACACTAACTATAGCGTTCGACAAAGGCTGGGGCACCGTTGCCTCGGTCTTGAGCACTCAATCGCGTATTCGACCTCCACGGTTAGGGGTACGTCAGCGACGGGGCAGGGCCGGAGGGGTTGGACATTCTACTAAGTTTCTGGATGACGAGATCGGCTGAAGGATAAAGGGATGCTATATGAAGGAACCAAAAGGGAATACGAACTGAGAAGGCCTTGGTGGGCGACTGGGTTGGGCCTCCAGTAAAGAAAACGACCCCTGGATGAGATGAGGAGATGTCGAGATGAGCAAAAGCTGGGAATGAAGCGAATGAAAAAGTTACAGATGGTGAAGGTGTCAAGGGCTAGGGCGCGTGGTGGCCGAGGCTGACGAGAAAATTGCGCTTCGGCGCGCCAAAAGGGGGTTCTCTGGACGGTTGGGTTTGACATGATTCAACACATAGATGAAGTCTGAGGTGGTCCTGTCATTTAGGTGGGACGAGGCACTTGTACTTTACGGTAGTTAACCTGATCCGGTCTGGCCCCACCCGTGCTTAAGCTCCAGTAGGGGTGGAACAGGAATCACTATACCAAGCACGTTAATGAACAAAACAAAACAAAACAAACAAAGCCTCTGATTCTTAACATCACTATCAATTCATCCTCTATTCTAGCAAACAATGTCTCTACAAAAGTCTGCTTCAGAAACTAAAGTTCGCAAGCATCTAACTCGCGATCAATGTATTTAAAGAAGAGCATAAAGAAGACTGGGCTTGAAATTACAACATATATCCGACGAACTTGCCTTCACAAGAAGGCAATTGCAATTTGCGTGTGCTCGAGAGACTTAGAATCCTAAGCCTCGTAAAGGATGCTCACCCAAATTAAGCCCGGAATAGGTTGATGAGCTTGAGGCTTTCGTCCGGGAATCTCCTGAAAATCGACAGATGTGCTACTTGGAACTAGCCATGGGATCCTCCAGCCACTGGGGATGCAATGAGCATTAACTTTCAGATGCCCTCAATAAAATAGGTTACAGCAGATGCATTGCTCGGAAGAAACCAGCGTTAAGTGTGGTC